GCCACGCCCCGCCCCGCCCCGCCACGCCCCTCGCGCGGTGGAGGAACCTGTGGGGCCGGGCCAGGCCTGCCAGGCCGGCCGGGCACAGCGGGCCTGGCGGACCGTACCGGGCCTCTTGGGGGACTCCTTGAGGGAGAGCACCTCGGTGCCGCACCGACCCGACCTACGAGGCGCGCCTCTCGCGAAACTCGAAAAAAATAGAGGTGGTCTTAATAGTTGGGACGTTTAGAGTATGTTTCGCTCTGCTTGATGCAAGGCGGTGTGTCTTTGTTTTTACGCGTGTGCATGCGTGTGCGCGCTCGCCTCTGTGTATGTGTGTTTGTGTGTCGGGGACCCATTGTTCGTGGCAGGAAGTCAGTCTCCCTCCTCCCCTCCCCTCCTCCCCTTCCCCTCCCTTTCTCCTCCACGCAATACGGCCTGGTACTCTTCCTCCCTGCAGCTGCTCGTCCAAAGTGCAGCAGGAAGAAAGTATTTCGTTGTGTCCGGTATTATATCGGAAGGCAGAGAACACTCTGCGATGTGTGTAACATACCAACATGGCGCCTCGAATCTGAATCTTTTGGTTCAGATGACGCCACCCCTTTCCTCCCCCCCCCCCCCCTTTCCCATTTTCCTGACCACTTCCAGGGGCAAATGTTGTCATTGTGCGAAGAAGAGGGAACCTGTCGGAAACATGCCGATACCGGTTTTGAGGTCCGGAATACTACAAGAAGCGACCCGGCTGGCTTGATCTGCGCACACCTCTGCTCCGTAGCGCTCCGCAGTATCCAGGGCTCAGCGGGGGCAAAACGTGACGGAATATCGTCGAAATTCCAAGGGTTACACAGGGCTCCGCCACGCCCCAGGGCGCGCTGCATATTGCATCGTTCAGCCTCCGGGGCGATGCTCATTTCACCTCGAGGGGCGGGAGGGGCGAATGGGAGGGAGGCTCCCTCAGCCGTCGTGAAACCGACATGACATGGGTGGGGGCGCCACGGAGTGCTGTCGGGCGCCTGGGGAGTGTCGTGGCGGCAGCCCCGCCGCGCACCGGGGTCGGGCACCTTGCCTACCCCTGTGTAAAATTATGAGCCCAAACGTTAAAATTTG